CCTACTTGCAATGTACTTGTCTGCCAAAGGTGCAGAGGCAGCAGATGAGGTATCTCTGGCCATAGGATGCTCAGATCATGCTTTCTGCTGCCAATTTTTGATTTCTATTGATAAGTACAAATACAAGAAACTTTCAAGTGAAATTCTGGCTTCAAGGAAAAAGCAATTTAAAACATTGCACTGACATGAGTGGAGCAAGGCTTTTAGGTATTTTCACCTCATTTTCCTTTATTAAACCCAAGTAGTATGTCAGGAGTTCTGAAGTCAGGGGAGCTGTGCTCATTTATGCTTGCAAGCAACCGATTCACATTTTCTGCTAGTTAAAATCCCCGTAAAGTTTATGCGGAGATATTTCCTTGCATTATTTTCCTCTAGGCTGTCTCCTTCTCATGCACTTTGTTATCCAACTCTTTATCATCAATGTTTTTCTTTTATCTTTTTTCCTGGTTAGTTCAAAGCAGCCTTTATTCCCAAGATATATACATTTCTCCAGTTTACGTGACTTTTGGCCCTGCAAGAAAAGCTCTGTTTTTTTTTAACCTTCATTATACAGTTGATGTTTTTATTAATGAAAATAAGTGTAGACTCAACATGTTGATGGTGCTTCTAAAAAATGATGTGACATAATCCCATAACTGAATACTTTTGACATACATACCTTTATTTCAGGTAATTCTAGACTCTTAAAAAAAAAAAGGCTATTCTTGCTACGTTGTAGTGCAATGGAATGATAAGTTCCACAGTAGCTTCCTCTTGAATGTTAATGATGTGCTGCTTGTAAGTCTTTCAGTGCCAGAGTCCAGTGCTGCCCTAGCAGCTCATCTATCATAGATCCATGAATTCAGTGAAGGGTTTTATTTTCGAGTTTATTTCAGCAAACAAAACTGTTACTACATCTCTCATGAAACAAGCGTACTGAGTGCTCTCAGCCCCATGGGCAGTAAGTTCACTCCTGCCTTAATTTTCCCTTTTGAAGTAAAAACGTGTTCCACCTGGGTTTTTTGGAGGTGAGTGACTGTTTTTTTTTTTTGTTTGTTTGTTTGGTTGGTTGTTTTTTTAATACTCCTGAGACATGTTTCTGCCATCCTGGAAATAAAAGGTGTTTTCCCTGAGTCCAGAGGTTGTCTTCCTGAAGTCTTAGCATACCAGGAACATTAGCATTGCCTTGGAACCAGGCTGACACAAAATAAGACATTAACAAGGCTCTGGAATCTAAGGTGTTAGAGGATGGGGATTATTCCCATTATGGAAGAGGAGGATCAGACCAGACAGATATTGCAAAGTCATAGTATATTACTAAATGGGACTGATATGTTAATGAAAATATCAGTTGTTGGCTCTTGCAGACTTCTGTATGCTGTTGTACCTGGAACCTGTATCCACAGGGTGAGACGTGCAGCTGTGAAATGGTTGTGCTGTTCTTAAGGAAGAAGTGCTGTAGGCTGGATTGAAGTGTCCTCTTTCCTCATTCTGACCTACAAGCTACCCTAAAAATGACGGTCACTTTGACTTCTGAAGTCAAAAACGAAGTTTTGACACTGTTGCTCTCTTTGGAGAAGACCAGCCATAAAAGAAAACACAGTAAAATCTTTGGCATCCTGGAAACTGCAGTTGTATCTGCACTTCGCAGTGTTGTGTAAAGTGCTGGCTCTTGTCAAGCTTGCACATCCTCACTGGCACAAAACAAGCAGCAGGCTAGTGAGGGTCTGAGGGTTTGTTTTCCTCCCAGCCCATGGCCCAGCTCCCAGCACAGCTTGGGTTGGTGCTACGTGTAGGTAGCTGTGTTGGTTGCCTTCACCACAGTAACATCTCATATATGAGGACTTAACTCTCATGACTCTTGTTGACCTTAATAAAGTTAGTGGTCTTAACTGTACCTGTAGGGAGTGATGCTACAGAGAAAAATGAATTAGCTTAAATCTAGGCTATGAATATACAACTGAGTGGGCTCATACAAGAAAGAAAAAAATAAAACTGGTGGGCTGAAGGGAGCTGGAGGGGGTTGGCAGCTACTGGACGGGAATAAATTAACAAGAGCTTACTTAATATTTAAGAACATACAGGCATCTACCTGGAGAAAAGAAAAAAAACATACAACAAAAAACACTGTCTTTAGAAATTAAGTTCTGCGTACTTCTGTGGGAGAAAAAACAAAAAACAAACAAACAAAGCACAAACCCAGCTGGATTCTTTCTGCACAAGAGAAAGCTTGGTGCAAACAAGGGGTCATGAAAATACCCACTCCATCTGTGACCTGACGTGCTCTCTGCATGCCACAAGGTATTTTAAAATGCCATAAATACAAGAAGTATCTGACAAAAAAGATCTTTCTGTAAAACAATGCAAGCCTTGGATGTTGCTAATTCAAAGGGGATATGTAAATGCTCAGGCATTTGTCAGAGAGCTATGACTCTATTTAGTGTTCTCTACTGGGAAATTCAGAGGATCTTGACAACGTAATTTTTAATTAAAAAGTACTTTTTGGAAACTTTAACCTTGCACATCTCACCACAGCTGAATATGATGTGTGTATTCTCTCAAATGAAAATAAGTATCTTTCCAGAATCCATAACATTAACAACCTCAAGGGATATTATTTATATCAACAGCAAGCCTCATTCTGCTTTTGCTTGCCTTGGGGAGACATCAAAAATTAATTAACTTAACCTGGAGATTACCACATCGTACTCATAGCTATAGTATGCGAATGTATTAACCAACTAGACTAACATCTGTTGTGTGGGGCTCTTTCTTCCTTTTGTCTGTTCCTTCCAAATAAATCTTTTTTTTTTTTTTTTTACAGTTTTCAGAAAATAAAAAGCTGCATTTTATTCCTTTTAATAGATTTTGCTTTGACTGCTTTGTAAAATGAAAACCCAATGACAGCAAAACAGAACAGCAACAGCCGAAGTGCAGCTTTTCTTCTTTGTCCTTTCCTGTTTAATATTTTCTGCCTCTTCCAGTTCATGCACAGAATAGCAAAACATACCTTTTTTTTTTTCTTTTCTGTTTTTCTTCTATCTACGACCCCTTGTGCTGCTTGTGCTAGATCAGCTGTCCATGGAGCTGTGCTGAGAGCTAGGGCAGAGGACTGAGCAGCTTGAATCAGTTTGCCTTGCAGCATGGGCATGGCTTCAGTTACTTAAAATACCCAGGAGGCGAAGGAGGAACAGTTGTTAATCCTGCCACCAGCCATTCTCTCATAGAGCTGTTTCATTCTATGGGATCGTGGAAGAGATGTTTTTGTACTATCCTATACAGAGACACAGCCTAATGACAATGGCTCACAGTGAGTTTGAAGCACAAAGTCACCGTCCTCGTGCTGAGCAGGGTTTGTGCCTGTGGGACTGTGGCTGTCACCGTGGCACATGAGGGCCGTTCACTGGCAGTATGCTGGGGTTTGTCTGTAAGGGCTGACTGCCTAACAACCAAGGGTTTTAAATCCTTCTGTTTGCACGTGTTCAAGGTATCAGTGATCAGTAACTCATACGAGGGCTTTACCAGGAGTTTTATCTATAATCTGAAGGAATCGTTTGCACCAGCCTCTGTTGTAGGTCTGAGTTCGTTCATGGAGTAGCCTGACTCAGTCGGACCAGGAGTGAGCTGACTTGTTCTCGTCTTGCTTGGTGAGCGAACAGACCATAGGAATGGGATGCTAACACCAGACCCCAGATCCCCTCTAAATGTACCTCGGTACCTCAGACCACAGAATAGCACATGTCTGTGCGGGTACCAGTTATAACTATCACCACAGGCTAACCTGCAGCAGGATAATCTACAATTACCATCCACTTGTGCTCACTTAGCCCAGATAACAAATGTTCTGGCATTGGCACTGGTGGGGGTGCTCTGTGCTCTGCCTAAGTCCCAGCCCAGCCATCCCCAGCCTACGAGGACCCCGGATGGTTCCCATGAGCACAGCTGGGCTGTAGTGAGCGGCACTGATCTGCCGGGAGTTGCTGAGCAGAGATCTCTGCAGGCTGATTCACTGTCTGCAGGCGATCTGTGGTTGGGTAACTGGATCTTGCTGCCGCCTGCCTTGCTGGCTGAAGCTGCTCTGGGAGTCCTTGCAGGATGCTCACGCGTCCTTTAGGGAAGATCTTCTTTAATATTAAAATAAACAGATGGCTTGGTGGTTTCTGATATCATAAGTATTCTTTCCTGTGAACTAATATTACAGTTATTAGTGGGTTTATGGCCATTCAAAGAGTTCTTTTATTCCATTCTCCTTTTTCATCCCACAGACATGCTGGTTTTCTAGTGTCTGTTCTACACGTGTAAAGAACATTGCTCTCCCTGTGGTTCTCGACAATGCGTTAATCTGTTCCTAATGTGATTTCAGGGTCATCATGTGAGGCTGGGATGTGTCTGTTTGGGGATGTGCTGATCATACGTCTGTGTTAAGAACTCTGTTGACAGCTATAGGCTGCTGGATGTTCTGAGCGCATCTTTAGGCATGAAAGCATACTGCCAATGTAAAGATAAGGTCAGGTTGTAGGTTACCATGAAACAGAGGTGTCAGGAACCCTTCCTTGCAGGCATCTCAGGAAGAAACTTGCTGGTGGGCACTTTTTTTTTTTTTCCTTCTTAACAATTGCTTGAACAGAGGGAGAAATTAGGGCTGGGGTGAGAATGGTCCATGACCATCTAAATTCATGCAATTGCAGTTGATGAGGCTTTTTTTTGGTTTGATTAAAACAAAACATTAGGAAGTGCTATGGGATTGCAACACAGGCTGGACACATTGGCAGAATCTTGTCTATTAATTTGGGAATCCTGAAAACCTTGCTGTACTACCAGACTGCAGAATCAGGATACACCCTGTATCAGAGTAAATTTATGGATTTAGGGTCTGTTCCTTTCGAAGCAAATTGTGGGCAGATCACTGCTCCAGATGCCAGAAGCCACTGACTGGCCACATTCCCACAGTACAGCCCAGATTTCTGCTGTGTATGTGACTCTAACACAAAGTTATTGCTTTTTGTATGTTTTTTTTACAGTTCAAGATGGTGGGAGCAGTGTGTGAACTGTGTTGCAGCCCATCGAAATGGTGTTTTCTTTCTCTTTCATCTCTTACGAGCACAAAATGCTGTATGCCTTGGAACATGCCATGAATGCATGCTGGGAGTTCCTGGAGGTGCGTAAGGTAAGGAAATCAGCCTCGTGCAGTTTTACTTGGGTTACCCAGTAGGTCCTGGAACTTGGTTTTCTCAGAACAGAGTCTTCGTGTTGTCCTGAATGCTGCTCAATGGTACAGGTCAAAATCATGCATGAGAGAGAGGTAACAGACGAGCGTTACTGGCTGTAACCACCAGTGTTTGAACCCCTGCACTTTTCCTGCTGTATTCAGCACTACAGGCAGTCTGTGAGACTACAGGGGAATTCCTTGAGGGGAGATTTATGTTTTGCCTTGGGGTACTTTTTAGGCTTATGAGATAAAACCAGATGCTGGATGTCTGTATGGCATAGTACAATGGCATGCAAAGATGTTTGCCCACAGTTTAGTAGGAGGTAACGAAATTAGCATATCATTCCACTTGCATTATTTTCTTTCTCTGAGGCTGACTGACACAGTCGTACTGAGCTAGCTGGTAGATTTTGCTTGGGAAGGATGCACGGCATTGTATAAAACAATCTTCCTGTTAATCAGCACCTTGCAACATTTTTTATTTTCTGTACTTTCTGGAAACTTGTCTTCTGTACTTGGCTGCAGCCGTTGTATCACACCACTTTATACCCATCTCTCTCCAGCTGCGTTTTTCCCCAGATTGTTCTGCTTTTCAAAGCACGCTTTCAGTCACTAGTTTCTCAAGTTTGCCAGTCCTGATCTCTGCTCGTAGCAGCCCACCTGCTTAGAAATGCAGCTGCCTTTAGGAATACCTGCTGCCCTCACTGAGTAACTTCCCTGCAGACAGACAGTCCTCTGGGGATCATCAGTAAGCCTCTCAAAATGTTGGAGGAATATCAGATTCTCATGTTCTCTTTTATGAAATACCCTCCTACTAGAAGGAGAAATAAACACTTCCCTTACAGGCAATGTATTCATTATTTGTGCCTTCTAGGGGCTCCTTCTACTGATACCTGCCTCTGAGACACACAAATCATTAGTTTAATTTCATATGTGTGTTTTCTACTCTTCTGTTTTCAGGGCAGTGAAGATGTTGGCATTTATCCAGTCAACCTCCCATTAACAGTACAGTTATTTTGCTACAGCTCTCCTGAATGCAGTATCTGTTCATTTGTTCACATATTAGATTATGGTAATGTAAAAAATACTCCTTTAACCTTGCTTCAGTCAGGACTCCGAAGAATAGTCTGCTTCATGGGTGGTGCTTCAGGCAGTTAATTAACCAAGGCATAAACGATATTATTTACCTACACTGTCTTTTTGTGTCTGCCAATAATGTTTAATGTTTCAAAATTAAATTGGCCAGAGGAATGGAAGAATGCGCTCAGTGGCTTATTATCCTCTAATAAGACATTCCATCGTTTCACAAATTCATACTGTTCCTGATTCTTCATCTTGCACCACTTCTAAGCCAGAGAAGCAACACGCCATGTGTTGCAGAACAGATGAACAGGCACCAGCACTATCAAAAGCCTAGATGGTGGTGCCCTAGCTCAGGGCAGGTAGTCTGCACCTCCTGGGGCAGGGGAACACTGCCAAGTTTGTACCTTAAGAGAAAATCTCTTTTCAGTCCTAAACCTGGCAAGCCTTGACATGTGATCAAGACTACAGCTGATACATTAGAACAACTAGTAAAGCCACGGTACCATCTTTGAGAACTATTCTACTCTGACCAGTTGGAAACAGCTGGAAATAGAGCATGTGATTTAGCAGAAGGAAACAAAACTGTGCGTGAGCTGCTAAATGTCATGCTCACTCACAAACTCCTAGAGGCAGCCCTGAAGCATGAGAGGTAATTTGCTGTCTGAAGGAAAATTCTGAAAGCAAATCAGGAAGACTTTTAGCAAAGCTGTATGAATTTGTCCCCACCTTTTTCCTTGTATCAGCATTAGGGAAAGTAGGTACATAACCAGGCAGTACCTTTTCTTTGCAATGAAGTGCAAGATGGGTATTTGTGAGAGAGTCTCTCTTTCATGTTCGTTCTGTGAAGTTGAGAACTGCTGATGTAGTGGAACTCTGATCTGTAAGTATCAAAGCTTCCTTTAGAATTCACATTCTAAAAGAGTAGTCCTCATGAGTCTTATCCAGGTTTAACCCTGCAGAAAAATCTGGAGGATTTCCTTCCTGCATAGTATGATCCTATAAAAGTTGATTGGTGTCTACCTCAGACATTGGATTGTTCAGTCTTAGGGTAGGACATCAAATTTGCCAGCCTTTAAGAATTTCCCACATTCAGTGGTCTTGTACAGCTAAGGAACCATCATTCATTTGTCAAGTTCACTTGACATCTTTAGAAAAGGAAAATTTGCCAGCGTGGCTTTCAGAAGTTCCAGTGGTCAGTAAAGATGTCTTAACATGGATAAAAAAGAAGCCAAACTCAATTTATTTTAAATCCTAAGATTAGACTTCTTAGAAACAAGTAGCAGATATTCCATTTCAACAGAACAACATCAACAAAAAACCAGCTGAAGTGGAGGGATGCTAGACTGCAGCCCAAGAGCACAGTATTAAATTCCTGGTGCAGGCTGTCACTTCTTGTGCAACCCTAGGTAAGTAGCTGTAGATCAGGAATGTATTTTGTGCTTATATATTAAGTAGGTTAATATTTCTCTCCCTGACAAAAGTGTTTGGGGAAGAGAAATGCAGTCTTTTAGGGGTAGGTGGAGGGAGTATCTTTTGCTCTTGGAATCCAGCAGTGAATAAATTGTCCTTTATTCAGAATAACTGTAAAAACTGATGAAGTTCATTGTGAAAAGGGGAAAAAATGCTCTAACAATAGTGAAAGTCTTCAAAGTGACAGACAGCATGGCAGTCTGGTCAAAGACATAACAATGATTGCGTCTGGGTACTACAGTAAGCACCATTTGGCCCACTTCTGAAGAACCTACAAAAAACCTCCCAGTTATATATGATATGTCAAGTGTGGCCCCAAACCAAAGGCATCTGTACAACTGCTGACCTCATTATTTGGCATTCTCCCGGTATCTTACTGTGGAGGCCAGTCTCCCAGAGCACGTAAACTGGGTGCCTTGCCACATTTCCATCCCTGAGACTGCAGTCTCCTTGTCTTAGCTATCACTTGCAACTATCTCAGTCTCTCAGTATGTTCAAAAGAGAATTAAAGGGAGATGGAGCAGGGGGAGGAAATCCGTTTCAATTTAGAAACCATCTGGGCACCACAAATTCTATTAGAAAAAGATCCTGGAAAAGGGAGTTTTCAAACTGAAATAAACAGTTTCTTCTTGAATATCCATTTGGAATGTGTCAGTTTAGCTGAAGAGGCTTTCAGACTGCTCTCCACTTACAGCTTGCCAAGGCCATGGGTGAAAGGGCAGCTTGGGAAAAAGATTCTTTGAGTTTGCTCGCTAACAGCACTGCAGAAATAATTGGTTGCGAATGATGCATAAGCTTTGACAAGGCCTGAGGATCATCCATCATCTGATATGGGGAGTCACTGTGCACAAGGTCAGGTTAGTGCAGAGCCAAGATGAAACTAAGTGCTGAATGTGCTGTAGTGTCCCTAAAAAAAAAAAAAAAAACTTCTCAGGGTTAACTGAGTGCTCTCTTGAAGGCACCTAAAAGTCTGACTGGAACTTAAGTTATAACAAAAAAAAAAAAAAAAAAATGACCTATGGTAGGAGTGCTTATAAACCCCCAGGTACTGCAGAACAAATTTTTGTGGAGTTTCTGGACAAAAGTCAGACTGAAAGAGCAGACCACCCACACCATACCACCCCCCCCTCCAAAAAAAAAAAAAAGATAATTCTTCATCATGTGTTTTTTTTTTTTTTTTAATCCTCTTTTCTATATTTTCAAATATAAATGAATATATTTAATTAATGCAGAACAGCACTTGACATTTTAAAAAGTTGACTTGGCCTAACATGCAGGCTTTTTTGAAGACTATAAGATCAAGAAATTCATTAATATTTCTACTCTTTGCATTGATTTTTTTCTATAGAAAGAGTGTATAATTTATTTAACATTTTCAACAAGCAATAAGGAGAGATCAAGGCAGAAAGACAGGGCACCATTTCCCATTCAGTTTTAGAAAATAAATAAATAATTAGATGTATCTTCTCTGGCAGCAAAGCTCATTGAAGAAATTTCAAATTGCGTGCTATGCTTTACTGCCCTCAGTAGCGCTGAGGCAACTGTCCACACGTGGTTCTGAACAAGATTGCTGAAGTGATCTAGCCTAAAAATAATTTTGTTTAGGGATTTTTTTCAGCCAGGTCAGTGTGTGGCTTTGGAGGGAGTGGTACCGACACACTGGGAGGGGACTGAGGGTGACAGCAGCGAGTTTCCTGCACTGTCCAGAACAAAACTCATCATCAGACAGCGCTGGAACCTTGAAATTCTCAGGCAGCTCTGAAGAATTGATCTCTTAGAACCTTGTCAAAACACAGTGGACTGCACCTCATATTTGCAATGGTGACATCTTCTTTTTCCTTATCCTTGAAGTAGTGATATAGTTTGGAGGGGTACATTCAGCCAGATCTCCAGTGTGAAAACGAAGGATGGGATAATGATTTCTTAATCTGTGCTCAGTAGTACCTGATTTATCATTAAACTGTCTCCTTGAAAACAAGAAGTATGTTCATGGAGCGCTTACAGCAGGAAGGAAAAGTATTGGATTGTCTCAGAGGTTGGGGAATAACTAGCAACAGTCTGACCCAGCATCTTCGCAGTCACCTTCAGATCGCTTCCCTGGTTACAGAAGTCCCATCTTTCTGGTCTTTCTGTTTTGTTTTAAGAATCAGTGTTAAAACATCTAAATGCTCATTCTGGAGTTTTTAAGAATACAAAATGCTAATGAAGTATTTCACTCTGGAAGGAAATCCAGGAGTGAATTACAGCATGGGTAACATCCTCGACAAAAGTTCTCTGGGCGAATGGAGAAACATAGTGGGTAGACTCACTGGTTAAGTATTCTGCTGCTGTCGTCTCACATAATTTGTTCATGTTTGGTATCCTCAAAAATGCATAAGGGAATTAGGCCTGCAGATTCCATCAGG